TCAAGAGTTACAAAGCAAAAGAAAACTCTGAAAGGGAAAACAGTGCATGACCAGACATCTTACCTGACTCCAAGTCCATTTTGGAAACGGTTAATATTTCCACCAACCCAATACAGATAATTATCTGAGTGTGTACATACACAACCTGTTCATGTTCAGCACTGTTCTGGGAGCCATGCAAACAGAGATGAAGGACAGAAGAATGTCTGCCTTCACGAACCTTCCAAGGGGAGGAAAGGAGGTTAAAGAACATGCGCAGGTCCTTATGTTAATGAGAGATTTGAATCCAGCTTTACCACACTCTACCTCTGGCTATTAGAAAACTAGTGTTCTAGTATAACTAGTAGGTAGTGTTCCATGTGTTTGTGTTGTCGGGGGGTGGTCTAGACAGGGAAGAAAGGTACTGGAGAAAGTTTTCCTTTGGTACACGTCTGTGAATTTCTAAGAAATGTGCTTAGTTTGGAATTAGGAGTGTTCCAGTTACAATTCACAGATCCTGACAAGTCACAAAAGATCTCTATATTTCCATTTGAATAAAAGAAGGGTGTTGGCCTAGTAAGGAATGGTAAACTGGTTCGCCTTTTTTTAATTTTATTTATTTATTTTTTTGGGTCCGGTCATGGGGCCTGAACTCTGGGCCTGGGCGCTGTCCCTCAGCTCTTCAGCTCAAGGCTAGGGCTCTACCACTTGAGCCACAGCGCCACTTCTGGCTTTTTTCTTTTTGTTTATATGGTGCTGAGGAATCAAACCCAGGGCCTCTGGCATGCAAGGCAAGCGCTCTACCACTGAGCCACCTTCCCAGCCCTCGCCTTTTTTTTAAAAAAAGTTTTTTGTTATTATTATAAAGGTGATGTACAGAGGGGTGCCAGTTACAGTAAGTCAGGTAAAGAGTACATTACTTTTTGGACATTGTCACCCCTTCTAAATGATTTTTTTTTCTGTCGGTTGTAGAGCTTGAACTCTGGGCCTGGGCACTGTCCCTGAGTTCTTCAGCTCAAGGCTAGTGCTCTACCACTTGAGCCACAGCGCTACTTCCAGCTTTTTCTGTTTATGTGGTGCTGAGGAGTTGAACCCACAGCCTCATGCATGTGGGGCAAGCACTCTACCACTGAGCCACCTTCCCAGCCCCATGGTTTATCTTATTATTATTATTTTTGGGGGTCCGGTCGTGGGGCCTGAACTCTGGGCCTGGGTGCTGTCCCTCAGTGCTTCAGCTCAAGGCTAGCGCTCTACCACTTGAGCCACAGCACCACTTCTGGCTTTTTTCTTTTTGCTTATGTGATGCCGAGAAATCAAACCCAGGGCCTCATGCATGCAAGGCAAGCACTCTACCATTGAGCCACCCTCCCAGCCCCCCATGGTTTATCTTATCTAGTAATTCAAACCTACTCACAGTGGCCTCCATATGCTGAAGTCACATTTCTATGTAACAGAAGGAGCAGAAAGAGTGGTAATCAACTAGTGATGTCTGTTATGAGGTTTGAAGATTAACCTGGATAGTAAATTCTGATGATTTGAGGTATCAGTGTGAGTCATTTTAATCTGGTGATAAGAAAACTCTCCTTCTTTCATGACCTTCCAACTAACTCATAGAACTTTTCTTAAAGACTGATGGTTCACAGTACTGGAGATTAAACTCAAATCTTTGCACCTGCTAGGTAGGGACTCTACTACTTGAGTCATGCTCCCAGTTATTTTTCATATAGGGTCTTGTGTTTGTCTCAGTCAAGCCAGACTATAATTCTGTGTATGCCTCCCATACAGCTGGGATCACCACACCGAGGTTGAGATGAGGGTCTTATCAACATTTTGCCCAAGCTGGCCTCAACTGCAGTCTTCCCAATCTCCATTGCCCAAGTCAATTTTTCACTTTCAATAGTTCTGATACTATGGCATATCCATAAAAATCTAGAAATAGTTGTGATTTAAATGAGAGCTCACACCTGAAATCCTAGCTACTCTGGATCCAGGTGAGATCTGAAGATCATGGTTCAAAGCCAGCTTGGGCAAGCAAGTCTATGAGACTCTTCTCCCCAAAAAGCTGGAGATAGAGTTGTGGTAGAATACCAGCTTTGAGCAAAATTGCTAAGAGATAGTACCCAGGCCTAGAGTTCAACCCCAGTATCTGCTTCACTGAACGGAAGTATACCTGTTCACTGGAACTTGTGGTGGTGTTTCCAAAGATCTCCCTTCCCCCATGCCATTTTGTAAGGTGATTCTACTCCACCCCCATTCCTCCCTACCACCCACCAGTCAAGGAGGGAGCTGGGTAGGGTAGATTGGGAAGCTATGAGAATTAGGGATAAAGAGAACTTAGATCATGAAGGCAGATTACAGATAATATCTACATATAGCCTACAAGATGGATTTTAAGATGATGTAGTTATTGGATAAGATACCTGGTAGTTTTGGGAGTAGATATATTTTGCACATTAGAGAGATGTAAATTGTTGAAAGAGCAGAATGAAGTGATTGTCTGCACAGGTGGTCCATAATTCCTCACCCTGTATTGACACTCCATTCATCTGATCAAAGAGGAGTCTATTTTACACAAATGTTGATAACATGAACAACCCAAATGCCCACTGTCTAATGAACAGATATAAAATGTCTTACCTATACAATGGAATATTATTTGGTACTAGAATGACATGTTACAAGGATAAACCTTGAAAACATTAAGCTAAGAGAAAAAAGCCAGTCACAAGCAACCAAATACTTTATAATTCCATTGATATAAATTTTTCAGAGAAAGCAAATTTACAGACAGAAAGCAGATTAATGGAAAGAGGGCTGGAGGAAAAGGGGTGGAGGTGATCGCAAAAGGGTAGAGATTTCTTTTTAGGCTGATGATAATGTTCTAGATTTCTGATGGTAGTGTTTAAGATTCTGTGGATATAATGATTAGACTGTATATTTTAAATGGATGGCTTATAGCTCAAACTGTTAACAAAAGCTGGGGAGGATTCCTATTGAATCAAAATGGGCATGTGACTTGTTCTGAATGGGAAGTAAGGTAAGTGATACTGGGCCAATCTAGGTCTAAATTCCAAGCCTGGCAGCTTTTACTACCATCCTCTTGTAAGTTACCATACAGAGCAGCTCAAGCTGGTCTATTCAATGACAGACTATGCGTAAAGAGGCTCAAGGAGGCATCAACAACCTAATCATGTGAGAGCTTCTTGGATATCCAGCCCCAGCCAGGCTAAATTAAATCACACAAATGACCCCAGAAATGGTAACATGAAACAGAAGAATCCCCCTGCCAACTCAGAATCATTAATGCTTTAAACCACTGAATTTGAGGTGATATGTTATACACAACCTCTTTGAGCCCCAGATTCTACTTCTGTAAAGTAGGACTGAAGCATTAAAACACGAAAAGCATTAAACACAAAAAATAGGTTGTTACGGTTATTAGTAACAAAAAACATCCAAGTGATCCTTGATGTAACATGCAGGTGTCTCGTCTGGCAAGTGGCATCTGCCACTTCCAATCACATGGAAACACTGAATTTCTAAGAGGAATAAAAGAGTATTTCTTGCTGTTTTGCTACAATTTCTGAAAAATTAACTGAGTATCATCAACAGATGAAAAAAGTTTCTGCATCTACTCTACCTGCTTACCTAAGCATCACACTTTTATTAAACCATAAATACATGACATCAATTAAAAAGGGCTGAAGATATTTCTTCCTTTGAAAAAGAAACTACTTTCACCTATGCAGCAGTTAACAAAAAGGGACTACATGCTTGTAGTTCAGAAGAAAAGAAAATCTTCAGCAAATGCAAAAATCATCCAATCAATGAGAAAAAAATTTAAATTTCCATACAAAGCTCAAACATATAACAGGAGCACAATGATTCTGGTTAAAGATCCCAGAAACAATACTAAGAGCAGGCAGTGAGTCCTAGAAAGGTTTATTTCTTAGTGCCTAGACTCTGATTCATAGTTGCTGGATCCCTGTGAGAGAACTTGATTATCTGACATTACTTCCTTTGTTTAGGTGCAGAACAGGTCCAGCATTCTCACACATACTCATACACTGGTAACAAAGTAAGAAACTTCAACCTATCTGTAGGATAGAATGTTATACAGCATTCATCTACAATTGTGAAATCAGTCATGACTTAATGTAACAGTCTACATTAAACTAAAAAGTCTTTTAATCATAAGAACAAAGAAATTATTTTTCTCCAAGTGGTTATCATCAGTATTTTAATACACCAAAGAATGAAAACATAAAGTCCATCATAACGTCCACCATAATTAGGAAGAACTTAGTCTAGACAAGCTCAAAAAAAGTTACAAACTGTACATTAGAGAATGCATATAAAAATTGTTTAAAAATGGGCATAAGACTCAGAAAAAGAACTGAAGATTCAAGGGCTAGTAGGGTAAATAGAATTATAAAAAAATATTTAGAGCCAGGTACCTGTAGCTCATGCCTGTAATTCTAGCTACTCCAGAGGCTGAGATCTGAGGATCCCAGTTCAAAGCCAGCCCAGACAGGAAAGTCTGTAAGACTCTTATCTACAATTAACCATCAGAAAACTGGAAGTGGTGCTACAGCTCAAAGTGGTAGAGCACTAGCCTTGAGCCAAAGAGCTCAGGGACAGTGCCCAGATCCTGAGTGTCCCATGACCACAACCACCACCACCCAACAGCAAAAAATTTAGTAAACCAACCCCCTAGCAGGGCAAGAGGGTGACTGAAGATCAACAAACTGACAGATAAAATGACCCAACAGGGAAAACCTGAAAAACAAAAGTAGCTGCCACATTAAGACCTCAATTGGTCCATGCCCCTACTAGTGCTCTAGGGAGTAGCCCTAACAAGGGACAAGAGGCAGGAACGAAGAAAGAAGAGCTGACTTAGGCCTTAAGTGATAGGCCACTCTCAGCCCTCACCACCAAAGAGCAATCACAACTTACACAGCTCAGTTTCTTTTCTGTAAAAAAAAAACAATGTGATGTGAGAACTGTATATATGCACCAACCTGTGGTCTTAGGAGGCTCCTGAGGTGTGCCCTGCCAGCCGTACTGTGGATATCCTTGATAAGGGTACCCCTGAGGAGGTGGAGGTGGATAGGGACCTGCCATAGGTCCCATTGGTTGCTGTGGGTAAGGTGGGTATGGAGCTGTGGGGCCTGGGCCCGGATATGGTGGAGGATTCTCTGGGTTCATCAGGGATCTGCAAAGTGTACCTAAAAGACAGAAGAAAAAAAAGATTTGTATTAAACCTATGGAAATCAGGGGAAAAAATCCAACCCATAAAATCATTGACAAAATGCCTAAAAGGTATCTCTACTGCAATTATGTATCTTTCTATTTGCCTTTTATCTGTCCCTCTGCTATACTGCAGGCTGTGATAATGAGGGTCAAGTCAGTTTTGAATCACTGTCATGTCCTTAGAGCCTTGCAGAGGGCAGGCTCCTACATAAATGTACTGGATAAGACATTTTATATTTTTTATTCCCTAAATTGTCCATACATGTAACTGGAAACTTTAAGACGACAGAAAGTCTAATAGCACTATAAATCAGAAGCTGACCCACTACTAGAAATTTTCTAATAAACAGGGCTAAGCTTCAGCAGGTTTTTCGAACAAGCACCACTGACAGCAGTGACCAACCAAGGTTGTAACCACTGCCAATGCCCTGGGCATCCAGGGTGACCTGGTTGTTTTCCCTAGACCCACTGCTCTAGGCAGCTAGGCAGAATTGCCTGTGAAGAATGCAGAGTATCTCCTCTGACCATCCAGGCCACCAGGATTTAAGAGGGCTCATCAGGAACCCTCACTTATATGTCTAAGATCTTGTCCTAAGCAGTATATTTCTGTGAGGAAGGACATGCCTCCCAGCCCCCAAGCCTCTTAACCTTTCTCTTGACTGGACTTAAAGCTTGGAAGGCCAACATCTTGTTTCCATGCCTCTGTAATCTCCACAGTGCCTGGCACAGTGATTTCAAGATTAAAAGCAAAACAAATCATTACTGGGGTGTACCAAGTATCATTCTACATATGACTCAAAAGCATATGACTACTGCTTCCTTGTATAGATATGCATTTCCTGTATTGATGAGTGTTTCTACCTCTTAATAAGTAGCAAAAGGTCTCCTAGTCGCAATTTAATAATTTCACTATTAATTCCTTTTTATAACATGCAATCAATAAATTCATGTGACTTTATATCAAAATAAAACCCTGTACCAGTCATAAAGTAAGGTTCTCTAGAAAATTTGGACTAAAGGTAACAATGAACTTTGCTGACTGCCTACACAACATCATGGGAAGCCTAATCTGTCTAAACCAATTCAGTCGCCACTCCTTTTTTATTATAAATGACTCAAAGAACGTAGGATGCAGCCAATCACAAATGGTCCCCCTTGCTACTAGAACTTTTTCAGAAGTGGTTTCATCAGTAAAAACCTCGCCCAACACTCCCATCAAAACTCCACTTTGACATAGGCACTCATGAAGTTGAGGAAAGGCATGCCTACAACACTGGTATCAAACAATCTGCAGCCTTATCAGCCTCAGGATGAAATAGGCACTTAAAAAAAAGCAGAGTATAAAGAAAGAAATGGGCTGGGCACACTGGTTCATGCCTATAATCCTAGCTACTCAGGAGGTTGAGATCTGAGAATCAAGGTTTGAAGCTAGCATGGGAAGGAGGAAAGTCTGTGAGACTCACCTCCAATTAAAGCACCAAAACAGCAGAAGTGAAGTTGTGGCTCAAGTGGTGAACTGCTAGCCTTGAGCAAAAAAAATTCAGGGATAGTACCCAGGCCCTCCTGGAGGGAGAGAGGGGGGAAGGAGGGAGGAGAGAGAGAAAAGAAAGAAAAAAAAGAAAGAAAGAAAGAAAGAAAGAAAGAAAGAAAGAAAGAAAGAAAGAAAGAAAGAAAGAAAAGGAAGGAAGGAAGGAAGGAAGGAA